AAAAATGACAAAGATAAACAAACCTCGATGCTGGCAAGGAGGATCCGCAAAGCCATCTCATGACAATACTTCGCTCTCAATGGGTAAGAACCATATCTGATATATTAAAGATTAAAGACTGGTTTAGCCAAAAGGCATAATCGGTGGTTGAGAAAGGTGTGCAAAAAAACAAAACACTCACTTGGAATAGCAAACTTCACCGTTACCACCACATAACACTGCCATGTCAGTTGCTGTACACATTAGCAATCCACCATCCGTGACTGATTGAATAGCCGAGTCAAGGAAAATAGACGGTGATCCATATGGATCAAGGTCAACCTAAGAAAGCAAAATTAGTTTAATAGAAGCAACTATAACAATATGCAAATGAACATAATAGTGTGTATAAAAGAATTCTTACCACATCAAATTCTTTAGGGTGGGTAAGCATATGGACACGAGCATCAGTATGATGTGACTCCACCTTTGAAATCGCCACCGAGCCATTGAACTTTATGTTTCTCTGGCAAGCTTCGACCGATGCTTTTAAGAGAAAAAGGAACAACATTAGGATATCGTTATTGGAAAGCTACGAGAAACAAATAATCAAGAGTTCCAAGTCCTCTAATCTAATTCATTAAATTGAACAAATTTTTTACCTAAATCATTATCCAACGCCACAACCTGACCAATTCCTTCTATTTCACGTGCATATCTTAGAGCCCGTAACCCAGAAGCTGACAAAGCCTGAAAATATAAGTATGCAAAACAAAGATTATCCAAACTGCACGATCACAATAAGGTATGAAATAAGACGGCAAGTAAAAGAATATAGGAGGACCTCAAGCACTTTTGGTGGCTTGGGTTCTCTACGTGCAAATCCTTGTGCTGTCTTGGCAGGATCTTTTGATGCAGAGCTTGGTCCATCCTCAGATGCTACTTCGTGATCACCATTATTCATACCGTTCTCGCTCGGAGTTTCTTCCTTGGAAGCTGCAGAAGCATCCTTCTCGATCACTTTGGAAGCTGGCCTAGCTCTTTTAGATGACTTAGCCTCATGCTCTTGCTTGCGTTTTGATATAAATTCCCTTAGAACAGCAATGGACATGTCTCTATTGTTCACCTAACCATTCAATATAGACATGAAGCAAAGAGATCAGGTTCACACGCTCAGATCCCATGTAGCTTCAAACAAACACATTACTATCAAGACGCAAGTCAGCTACTTAAATTGGCAGTGTGAAGGATAAGTTTCACAAATAACTCTCAGTGAAAGATAAGAATTCTCAGCAACTTACAATGAAACTGGCTAACAATCATATTCCATCCAAAAAGTTTGATACTTTTGGTTCCTCAAAGAATAAAAATCCAAACTTTAAAACAATAACTGACAGTTGCTTGATTAAAACAGGTTAACCAAATTCTAGTTACAGAACAAGCAAATAAGCTATCAGCTAATTGATGTAAATCAATGTTCAGTGGTCTTAACAAAGTTACAAAATTTGATTACAAATGAAAGCAGCCAATACAATGGAACAGAAACACCAATTCAGATAACCTATCTCAGCTTCAAACTTAAGAAACAACAAAAAAAATTCATAAAGAAGAGAAATTTGGAAACCTGAGCTTTATTGAAGAAGACTTGATTCTTCTTGTGCATGAGAATCTCAGCTTCTCCTTCCTTGATAACAGTATAGTCATTCAGATCCGTTTCCATTGCTTAATATTCTTATCAAGTCTCTCTACTCACAAATTCACTTACTATCAATATTGATTTATGGGAACTTAACGACCAATCACAAAATACGTATTGAAATAAAAATCCTATCCGCTTCGATTTCAGAGAGATAGATTGGAGGAGGAGGCAAAATACCAGTGAAGAAGGGCTTTAACTTAAAACCCTACTACACATAAATTCCGAACATAACATACACAGTATTTGCCTTTTTTTGGTTTGAGAAATTGTTTTTGTCTTTAATTTCTAAGTTTTCCTTAATTTGATTGTTAATTTACTTAGAGAACTGGATTTGGAGTTTGGACATAAGAGAGAGAAGTAAAAGATAACTAACGGGTGTGAATGTAAGAAAACCAAAAATACAGGGATGCGAGACTAAATGTGAAAAATAAAAATAGAAGAGTTAACTGGCCCATGCAGGTTTCGAACCTGCGACCTTCGCGTTATTAGCACGACGCTCTAACCAACTGAGCTAATGGGCCATCTGCTAATCATAGTTTCTGCTTTACTAATTTGAATCTCAAGATGAAACGCAATGGCTGGTGTTGCGATGGATTCTTTGCTTCTAGGTGCCACCATTGATGCTTTCGTAACCGGTCTTCTAAGAGAAGGTGACAACTTATTGATTTCATCCGTATTTTGAATGAGAGGACATGATGATGGTGGTTGCATAAGAAATCTAACAAGAGTGCTCAATTATTTGCTTGAATGATTTTAAACAAAGAATAGATTTTGTTAAGATTAACAAAACATATGTTAGGTAAGGTCAGGTTCTGCATACCAATAAGCCTTACTATATACAGTGGCAACAACATGTTTCTTCTACTTAGGAGATTTTAGGGTGAATATATATCAAACCCATGTGAGCAATGATACATGTGTTTCTTCTATTGAATTCCCCAACAATGGTCATTTGCTCTATGCGCTCGTGTTGCGCTTTCCGGTATCAAATCATATATATAACCTAAATGAGACTAGACAAAGATTTTGATTTGAATAATTGAAAAACGGTATAAACAAGAGATAAAATTCCCCAATTAACAACAAGTAACACGGTAAAATACCAAACAAAATAAAAGGGTAAAAACAGAGAGACAAGTCACTGTTAGAAAGGTGACTGACTCCTCCTTTGGGCCAGCCAGCACGCCTGCCACAAAAGTCAAAGCTCACTTACTATTCAATCATATATCGACACGTGTCCTTCGAACCACATCACCCATCTTGTTGCGTAACACAGTCTAGATTTTTTCTTTTTTTTTTTTACTTGTTAACGTCTTTTAGCTGTCTGTCTGTAAAAAATACGTACGGACTTCCTACGTCACCTGAGAATAAAGATCTTTGCTCGTAGATTCTTTGTCCCAAGTGTAAATAATTTGTATTTAGTTATTTACAATTGCATATAAACATGCTCAATTATATTTTTCTGTCTAAAACATTATGATTGAGAGTATACATATACAGTAATTAATTAGTAACTACAAACCTCATTAACAAAACAAATATATATTCTTTTTTTTGGGTCAACAATAATTAGAAATGAGAAGAAAGTGTTTAACTTAAAAATTGTTGACCCAAAAACTCATATGTTACCCTTCTTGGCCTCACCTAAAAGACTTTAAAATCCCAAAACTCTTGCAAGCAATGGCCAAACATAGAAGATTGGAAAACAAAATTAAATCTACTTTAACTTTTATAAAGAATATATAATCAACGAACCAAATTAATACGTATGTGATGTATTATTCCTCACGGTCTCTTCCATTTAGCCAATAGCCTTAATTACTTCAAGAAAACTAGCTTATATCAACCTAAATAAAACTAGTAAAAGAAATATACATACTAAAAGTGCGCCAAAATTTTACCAATATTTTAAAATAACCTACACCATATATAGTCTTAAACAGTTAATCACCATTTTCTGATCAAATTTTGTTTTCATATTATTTATAAATACTAATGGATTACACTTATAAATTTTGTTTTCATATTTTTTATTTATCCGTCAATCATCACGGATTCATGGTAGTAACATACTGATGATTAAAATTTTTACATTAAAAACGAGTTTATTAGACCCAAAAATTATGCATAATAATGAATAAGAAAATACGAACAAAACTTCAAAGTTGTCGAATAAGATAGGAAGCAATAGAAAAGCGACACGTACATGTCCATTTTAAGGAAGGAGAGGGTTTTCTGCGGCTTGTGAAGTAGAAGAAGAAAATGATGAAAGCTGCTTTCGTTTCATTCATTGCAGAAGAAACCAATGTTTCCCCAATCTCACGCGCCTCCTCCTATCTACCACCACTTGGCCATATTTTTTAATTATTCGTTTTTTTTTGGACATTGCAAAGGCATTCAAATTGGCAAACTTATAAACATAACTAACACTCCAGCATGCAAAATCTAGCTATGATTTTAATTATGGTTGTCTCACATGTTCTTCTATAGAGCTGGAAATTAAATTCGCTGCCTTAGTGTGGAACTTGAGCTAGTGGTGAGTTTTCTGACTTTCTAAAACTGTTAAATTGAGTTTATACACTATTAAAACATATGTACTACAAATATTAATTGGGAATTAGGTTTTAAAACCTTGTCATTCTATTTAAATTCGATCACCTTTAGAACATGGAGATCGATGTTTCAAATTTTCTGTTGACAAGCAAAGATGTCTCAAATATGAAGTTGGGCAAGTACGTGTATACCTAAAAGAGTCGAAAACATTGGTATCTAGTTATGTAGAATTATATAACTAGACAAACGTTTGTTTCAAAAGCTTCATTGATTTTTCTTAATTAGTAGAACTACTGATCATGACAAATAATGGCGTCTGCGTGGCACGCACTTGGGAGAGAAAGTGTGAGAATGTTTTTTACTTTTTGTGTAAAAGATGGAGGAGAGAGAAAAAGTAAAGAAGTAGAGAGAGAGATAGTGTATCACCAAGCCCTAATGATCTCTCACCCTCACAAATTTTCTTATCTTTATAGCTTTTATAGATTCACAAAAACTTTTCTTCAGATTCACAATCTCATCACAACCCTTCAAAAAAAGAAAAGATCTAAAGTATAAACAAGAGCCCTAGCTAAAATCAAATCAAAAACCAAACCAGAGAAAGCTAAAGTTTCCTCTTTTATTTTCTCTGTAGCTATTCCTCTTCTTTTCTCTTGTTCTTGAAAACTAGGGTTTACTTCTCCAAAAGATAAGATCTTTCCTCAGAAAAAGCAATACCCAAGTCATGTTTTTGTGTGTCTGTATATAGATAAAACATTACATACCCTAATAAGGTTACACATATAGCTATAAAAGAAGAAAACAAATTAGGGATCTTTTGGGGGAAAAAATGGGAAGAGGAAGAGTAGAGCTCAAGAGGATAGAGAACAAAATCAACAGACAAGTGACGTTTGCTAAACGTAGGAATGGTTTGTTGAAAAAAGCTTATGAGCTTTCTGTTCTCTGCGATGCTGAGGTCTCTCTCATCGTCTTCTCCAACCGTGGCAAGCTCTACGAGTTCTGCAGCACCTCCAAGTACAACTCTTTAGATCTGTGTTTAGATCTTTCATTTTTCTAGTCTTGTGATGATGAGTTTTATCTTTCTTGATTTTGGTTCTTGATTGCTTTTTAACAAAATCTGATCTCTTAGGTTTTGATTATAGAAGGATAATTCAGTACTTTTAAGGGATTGAATTTCGAGATCTGATCTTTTCTCATCATGTCAAATTCTTAGGGATTTTTGTAATCTTTATGTAGATTTAAAATTTATAGCTAGGAGCTAGGTAAATGTCATAATGATATACTAATATGTAATATCATTGTCTCTACACAGATATATATGTGATTAGAACTTATTAAAGTAAACTAAAGATTCACAGTCTTCAATAAAAATGAAAAGATCCAACGTAGAATAATCTGTGGTTCCATGCATTAACCAGTCTCTACCTCATGCAGACATTTAAGCACCTCATGAATTTAATTAATTATATCTCATCTTTCAATTAAGGGATAAGATCCCCCAAGATCTTCTTTTTATAAATTTTTAATTTTTAATTTGGTCACTAAATTTATAGTTTCTTCTTCTCCTAATTTGTGTTTTTGATATTTCAGCATGCTCAAGACACTGGAAAGGTATCAGAAGTGTAGCTATGGCTCCATTGAAGTCAACAACAAACCTGCTAAAGAACTTGAGGTTGAATCTCCACCTCTCTTCGATCTTATAACCTTTTAATTTATCTAAAGAAAATGTTTGATCAATTTTCATAGATTTTCAGACAAGTAGTCTAACATTATTGTCTGTTTTCTTGGCTTTTTTCAGAACAGCTACAGAGAGTATTTGAAGCTGAAAGGTAGATATGAAAATCTGCAACGTCAGCAGAGGTACATACATACATTTTTATGCTCATATTTAAACAGCATATGTATATAAGTTTGGATTGATGTATAAGTGTGTTGCTGCAGAAATCTTCTTGGAGAGGACCTTGGACCTCTGAATTCAAAGGAGCTAGAGCAGCTTGAGCGTCAACTAGACGGCTCTCTGAAGCAAGTTCGCTGCATCAAGGTGATTTACTACTGTACATACACTGAAGATTCAGACAAACATCTCTCTATGTATAGACTGAGACACATGAAATGTTTTTGATGCGTGAGGATATCTGAAAAATGCTTGCTTGTTTTGCAGACACAGTATATGCTTGACCAGCTCTCTGATCTTCAAGGTAAGGAGCATATCTTGCTTGAAGCCAACAGAGCTTTGTCAATGAAGGTATATGATGATGCTTCTCTCTCTCCTCCAGTTTCTAATTAAAGATCGAAACTTTAAATAGTCCCATTGATATATATGAGTCTAAATTTGTTCAACTGCTACATGTTTCTTTTGTATTATATCTATGATATTTTCAAGAAAGCTTGAACAATGTTGTGTTTTGTTTAGCTGGAAGATATGATCGGCGTGAGACATCACCATATAGGAGGAGCATGGGAAGGTGGTGATCAACATAATGTTGCCTATGGACATCCTCAAGCTCATTCTCAGGGACTATACCAATCTCTTGAATGTGATCCCACTTTGCAAATTGGGTAAATCAAATAACTTCTCTTGCCTTAAGACATCAACTTAGGTTATAAACAGTTAGCAGTTTGGTTAAGCACAACATTGTCTTTCTTTCAAAGATATTTGGTTAAAAGTTCAAACTGGTGTTGTTTAGTCTAAGGTTTCAGCACTTTGATGTCTAAAGTAGGGAAATCAAATTTTCAGACTTAAGAAGTGGGTTTCTATTGAAGATTCCTAAACTATGTTGTTGTGGTGTTACAAACAGATATAGCCATCCAGTGTGCTCAGAGCAAATGGCTGTAACGACGCAAGGTCATCCCCAACCAGGGAACGGCTACATCCCTGGCTGGATGCTGTGAGCGATACTTCTTCCCCCAATAAAGATCTTAAGCAAGTACTGTGGTGGGGTCTTGGGTGGTGTGATCTTAGATCTTATGCATATGAATAATAATGAATTTGCACAAGACTTTTGTTTTGTTGACACAAGTGGCTATAGCTGTTATAGCTTTCAACATCTCTCTTCTGTTTCAGGATTTGTTTGTGCCTATTGTAATTGCTTATATATTTATGGTTTGTAATGTGTGAAATGTTAACATTACCCATGTCTCATCTGGTTAAGTACTTATCCTGTCTTTGTATAATTAAAAAAAAAAACACAGCTTGCGACGGAGGCATATAAAACTCTCAAGTTAACAGTGAGATTCAACAGTTCACAATGCCACCAAGATCTAGCTTTTATTTCCAATTCTAAATTGTACATAACAGGACGAAAAAAAAAGAGAAAAAAAAAGTGTACATAACAGATAATTACAATATCTGGATCTTACAGAGACAGGACAGGAGATGAAATCTGTCTTAAAAAGTACAATAGGTACAAAGAGTTCTTCAATTTCTCAAATATATAGGATGAATTGTAATAACTTCCAACAATACTTAGTAATTTGGGGATTGTGCTTTTTAGTAATAACTTCCAACAATACATTGCTTGCAAGAGTTTGGGGATTGTGCTTTTTAATATACTTCTTCCCCATTAGTAAAATCTCCATCAAGTAACTGCTCCCTGAAACACATCAAGTCACATTGTTTAGCTTTACTTGACTTGGATCCTCTCTAAGTTTCAAAGTTTACGAGGTAATAGAGAAGTTTGTCCAAAAACTTCAACTTTGCTTACCTGAGTCTTTCGCAGAGGCGGGCTAAAGCTTCGGATCCCATTCTGAATGCAACATCTTGAATCTTTGAAGCATTTGAGAGGTTCACACTATCTGCTAATTGAAATTCACACAACTCCTTTAACGAGAATGCATCGGTTAAAACAGCTGAGTGACCACCTCCTGCTGCTAGCTTCCTCACTTGTCCTACACACCTGAACGCAACACCAGAGTTCCCTTTAGTCTAACTGAAAATTACCACAATCTCTTCATCACAAACCGTTTTGTTTTAGCAATTGAATAAACAATACAAAATTGTTTGAGCTATACCAGTCTACAGGCGATGGGTACCAAGCATATGACGACTTCTCATTTGCTGCTTGACCATAGCTATTATAACCCCATCCACAAATCCGTCCCTCTCTCATATAAACGAGAGTGTGAGAATGTCCACAAGCAACAAGCCGGACATCAGTTGGGATGACTAAAACCGGGACATTTCGTAGAAGCATTTCGCTTCCATTAGAGACACTAAACAAGAAACCAGATTGAGGACCAAGTCCTAGCTGTCCTGCTTGGCCACCACCCCAAGCATAAAGTGCTCCTTCCAAAGATAAAGCACAAGTGTGTACACCACCACAAGCAACTTCTTTCATGGACACACCATCGAGACCAACAACTCTCCTTGGTATTAACTCCTTATCCCCGGATTGAAGAGAAACATGCCCAAGTTGACCCATGCTTCCTAATCCCCAAGTGTAACTGCCACGAAAGAGATAAGCAGTGGACATTGAATAAGATAACCGAAAGAATATAAGCAAAAGGGAAGAAGACTTGCAAGTCAGGAATCCATTTGCTTCCTCAAGCATTCCCATCTGCTAGGATGTGATGAGATCAATATCTCCATCAGAAGGATTTCCTTCCTCGGAACCTTGCACAGAGAATTAGCTACCCATTCTATGTGAATAACCACAAAGTGTTCAAAAGAAGGCATTTAGATAACTTACACCTCGCCTGTATCAGATACAGCAGCAGTATGGTATTCCCCACATGAAACTTGTATAATCTTCACAACCTCGGGTGCTTCATCAAGGAACTTCGCATAAGCAGTTATTACACGAGGTGCTTGTAGTCCTTCACAAGTGACTCCTCTACCAAGTTGGCCTTGTTCATTATAGCCTTACAATTTCCATACAACACAGAAACCTCAAAATCATAAAAACAAATACCAAACAAACAGATTATAGTTGATAACTAGATCTCAAAGCAGTCTTACCCCAAGCTTGAAGAAGGCCTTCCTCTGATAAGGCCACAACATGAGCTGTCCCACATGATACTTGGCGGATCGCCTATAAATGTGCATATACCAAATTAATGTCTACACTAGTATGTTTCTATCATGGATAGGATTTGAGTACATACCGTTGTAGCAGGAAATGCCCCCGAAAACAAGCGTGGTAGATTTGATCCCTATCATTAAAAATTTGAGAGATCATAAGAAAAACACATGAAGTGACAATTCCGGTCACCATAACGGAACCTGTCATACCTGATTTTGGCCCCAAACCCAGAGTCTACTAGTGGAAAGAGTACCATCATTTTCACGGGGTTCTGCTATAGCTGCAGTGCAAAAAGCTCCACAAGACACAAATTTCACAAATTCTGATTGCAGCTGCTTCACCTTCTTTGGATGTTTCCTCCCAACCTCGGTTCCATCCCCAAGCTGACCGTATTCATTAGCACCTGAAACGAGGACATAAAGAATGTAAGAATCATCCTGACTTCAGGAAGTTACGGATTGCCTAAGATTCAACCACAAGATCCAACCGAACAACTAATTGGTTACTACTTAGATTGCTTTCTATGACATTGATAAAGAAAAGAACTTTATATCACAAGAAGAAAGACAATCTAATAACAACCCAATTGAACAGATTCTAGTTTATGGAAACTGAGAGACTGACCCCAAGTAAAGAGAGATCCATCTGATGCAACCGCAGCTGTATGTTCCCGACCACAAGATATATCGAGCCAACGCGAATTCGCACCAGCGGGGCAACCAAAAAGCTCAGGAGGAAGCTGTTTAGGGATACGCAAAAGCTTCTCTTGTCCATTCCTACCAGTTTGTCCGCTTTGATTGTAACCCCAAACGTATATAGCACTCTTCGTTGGGATACTCACAGGAGGAGCTACTTCACCAATGATTTCTCCAATATCCATTTTTAGAAATTCCCTTTTTAAGAAGAATCATGCACAAAATTGTTATTCTTCTTAAAGACCCAAACTTTATGAACAAAACTCTGATTTTACAGAAATAAGCAGAAGCGATCACGAATCAGGCAAATTTTTCGATACCCATCTTAGAGCTAATCACGAATTCAAAGGAAAAATAAATAAAATTCCATAACTAAGATGATGCCACACGCAAATGCACGAGAATCACAATTAACAAAAAAGAGAAAGAATCTGAAACCGTACCTCAAAAATCAATGTTAAAATTTGGATGAATCGAAAATTCTGAAGCTTTTTGTTCGGTTTTTGGTGGAGTTAATGTGTAAGAAACGGAGGGAAAGAGAGAAGCAATGTGTCTCGTTCGTTCATTTGCTCCGAGAGCTCGGGGACTGAGTCCGGAGAGACATTTCTGATATTAATACCGGAAGACCTTAACTTTATGAAATATTACAAAAGAGTCCCTGAATTATTTCTTTCTTTTATCACTGTTCCTTAGATTGAACACATAAAAAGGAAATTTATATAACGACAATGATGTAAGAGTTTCGATGATTAGAGGATACAACAGAGGCATTCATGGGAAAATAATCACTTAAAGAAGAAACATTACTTCTTGTTTCATGGATTTAAATTTTCTCAGAAACTTTAACTGTTGCAGAGTAACATTTTCTCCCTTTCTGCTTCATATATTTACCATTGTAAATGAAAATATTCACAAACCAACAAAGCCAAATTTACAAATTATTTCGTGCATTGCCTTGTCATCTTCCCCGGTTTCAGTTCAGATACAAGACACAGATCAATGGTTGATGCTCATGGTGTTTCGTTGAATTCCATCACCTACATACATGAACAATGGATCAAAAATGGGAGCTTTTTAAAAATCCGGATGAATCAGAACAACGCAATGGATTCCAAGAAAAGATTAACTCTTTATCGGGACACGTCTACGCATATATGATTTCTCTTGTTCTACCTATCAAACATCTTTCTCAGGCAGATACAACCAGAAGAAGCCATAGAAAGAACATGAGCTTTATTAATCAGAATGAATCAGAACAACAAAATTGTTATGAAATCCAGGAAAAGATTAGCTTTTAATCCTCTAGACCGGGCAATTTCGAAAAGCATATGGCTTTTTGCTTTGGCGGAAGTTTTCTACGCATTTCGTTCCAAAAATGTAGAAAATAAGTGGTTACCTTCCCGCAGACAGGACAGTTTTCACTTCTCTCCATCCACTCATAAATGCAACTAAGGTGGAAATGGTGAGAACATTTTGTCACAATCTTTGGGTTCTCTGATGTATATTCTGCAAAAAACCAACAAGATGATGAATACTGAAGGAACAAAAAGGAATCTGTCTGTTAAAGAAAATTAGGAGTGGGATTATTATTACCTTCAAGACAAGTTGGACAGACATCTTCATCTTCAGACAATATATACATGTTTTCAGAGTCGGCCATTATTGACTTGGACTTTGATCTCAAAATCCTGAGACTGGATTTACTAGAGTACTCTTCTTTGGAATCTTTATCAGAGATGGCGGATTTATTATTAGCCCATTTGCATCCTCCTAGGCCGAAAGACTCAGAATCTGCATCGCCATCGCTTCGTAAAGGTTCAACTTCCTCATGGGAATGACTTGAACCCTTCTCCCGTCTTGAGACGAGTGAGCGGAAGTATCTAGGATCAGCGTCATAAGGCAGAGGTCTTGGAGTGGAACGGAATGCTTCAGACAAAAAGTTATCGTGTGAAGAGGAGGAAGTTATCGCTGCAGTAGCTTGAACCGAAGATGGGAGAGAGCGGGTTTCCCCTCTTCTGAAGACTGAGATATACTGCAACGATTAATATGGCTCAAAAATTTAGATTAAAAAGATCAAAGTACATAATTGTGACAAGAACTCGAAATTGTAATCATGGAAACAGCAAAATTTTGAGATAGAAAACCATAAGAAAGCATCAACTGAAATAAGCAATGTGAAGAACGTACCAGGTTAAGGAAATTATGAGCAAGGCATCTTATGCAGGGACAGTTCCTATAGACAGAGCTATTTGGATTCATGTAGTCATCAATGTCTTCGACCCGGAAGCAAGAAGAAACACATCCCATCTTCTCCTCCTCCTTTCTTCTCCCTTTCAATGTTAAATTTGAATAGATTCCTTTACCTCACACTTTAACTGATCAACTGGTTTAAAATCATCCACAACACTGAGATTCAACGAGTGCTATATCTAAACCCGGTAATAAAACTCTCAAAAAGCTTTTAACGTTCTTGAAGGTTTCTATTTACAGAACTCTGATTCCCCAAAACATCTGCTTCATATATCCAGGTTACCTGCAATGATAAAATGGGTTTGATTCCTTGATAAGTCCAAAGATGCAGAGAAGAGAATGATGCAAGTTCAAACAATACATCCAAATTCATCTCAACAAACCAAAAGTTCAATTTCGGTTTAGTAGCAACTAAAAGTTTCGATCGATCTGAACTCTGAACACTCACAACACTAACTTGACGTTTCAGTAAAGTGAAATGAAAAACCCTAAATTAGGTAAATTTCCGACAACCACAGCAACGTCTGATACAAGAAGAAAAAGATAAAAACTTTGCTTGAAAAGAGAAACAGACAAACCCAATTGAGATAAGAGACACCGAAAAGTGAAAAACCCATTTCGATTAATCCAAAGAAGTGAGAAAACAGAGTGTATCAACGACGAAACCAGTAAAATTTGATCAGGAAACAAACAAGTGAGATCAATAACGATCAGGATCGAATGATCACAACCCATTTCTAGTAAATTTATCAAATGATAGCAAAATCAAAAAGAAAGAGTGAACCTTTGATCGAGAATTGAGCTGGCCGGAGAGAGGAGGCAAAGACCTAAACTGATTTCTGTTCGATCGGAGAGAGATGAAACAGATAACCGACGAAAGAGAGTCCCGAGAGAAGAAGGCTTTAAATTTTCAATTTTTAATTAAATATAGAAACTCGTTAATTGTGCAATTTCCCCAGGAATTTCAAAACTTTAAAAGGAATTTTGTTTTCTCGTCGGTGATAAAAAGAAAGGTTGCGGAAAAAGTGAGGAACACTGAAGAAGAAGAAGATGAATGATGATGGTTGTTGTTTTGAAAGTGGGTGAGAGACAGAGAGCTTTGTTGTGGATGCCAATGGAGCTTCAAACATAAAATAGTTCACCTTTAAAAACAAAACAAAAAAATCCAGTAATTTAATAACTTTGTTTAAAAAATAATCAAAGGACATTCTATTTTATATATATTATAATTTATATATATATATATATTTTTTTTCATCAATTTATATTTAGATTATGAGTTTGAAGTGTGAAGATAGATGACCTTGGACTTGAGCTTCTTGGATTTTTAGACGTATAAGAAATGTTTTTCTGTAAATATGAAAACTCCTTTTTCTGTTTCCAAATCTTTTTTTTTTTTATTATAGTTTTGTCGAATTGTAAATCGCTTTTAATCGAAATCTCACTGCTTTTATGGAGTTAATGGAGGACGAATAATTATTTTGTTACTCACGCAGTCACGCATGCTCGATTGCTCACTTTTTTTCCTGCAATTCTTTCTTCCTTCAATACTTTTAAAATTAATATTTTTCGTATAAACAAATGGGTCAATATCATGTACTTTCCATAGCAACTTTTAACTTTAGAAATTTAGGGTAATTGAGTTTTTGCACTGATTATAAAATCTGATAAAATACTAAAATAACAGTTTTACTATTTAAGTAGAATCACATGTTATTTAATTGATGATATTTCAAATCTAAACAACAAACAAACAAAACCAACAAAAAATATGTACAGTATTTCAGAGCTAAAAATATATATTAACCTAACATTCGACAAATCATTTCCAGTTTTAGTTAATTTGTTATTTTATGAATTATCAAAATAAAATAAAAATTAGTGTGACAACAATAACCAAAGCTTCTTAGCTTCATATATGGATTAAAGATTACATATGAAGTTAGAGTTAGAGTTAAGACCAAGCTTCAACATTGTACCTCCCTGTCTTCTCCAGAGCCTTGAGCCACCGTGAAGCTACCTCCTTTGATCCTCCTGTCTCCTCCGACACAATGTCCTCCAAAGCCGACATCACATCACAAGGCATTTTCGTCGATGAGCCCGCCACGTAAACAGCGGCTCCATCACAAAGTAAATCCCAAACTTTCTTGCTCATTTCGCGGATCTTATGTTGCACGTAAACCTTCTTCGGTTGGTCTCTAGAGAACGCTGTGTAAAAGCCACCGCCTTTTCCTTCAGAGAGCATGCCTCCTTCTCTTGCGTGAGACTCCCAGAAGTCGCGGTATAGAAAGTCTGTGTCTTTGTTTCTGCAACCGAAGAAGAACATGACGGGCGCAATCAGGCTAGACTGAGCTTGTACGGCTCTCTCAGCGATGAACCCACGGAAAGGCGCACATCCGGTTCCGGGTCCCACTAAGATAAGCGGAAGCGACTGTGATGGAGCAGGAAGGGAGCCTTTGTGAAACCAAACCGGTATGTTTACCTCTAACCACAACCGAAAACAAAGAAAACACATCAGAAACAAAGAACTGAGCCAGTGACAGTTATGGTAAAGAAGAAACAAACTTCTAACCTTGTTCAGGTGTGAGGCTTGCAAGCCAAGAGGAGCACAGACCTTTTCGAGTTCTCTTATAAGGCGTGATCCATGATACTATGCTTACGGTCAAATGTACTTGAGCAGGGTGGGCCAAAGGAGACGATGATATCGAAAAAGCTCTTGGTTTTAGCGGTGGGACTAACTGTACTAGCCACTCAAATGGGATTTGTACGGAAGGAAAATCGTCTAGCACCTACATAGGCATTAGAAATACAATCCATTTTCAATGAGTGTTCAAGACGAATCATGGACCTGTGAGATCTGGTGCTATTTTACCTCAAGAATGCTCCTTCTTTCCTTCTGATTGTAATTGTAGAGATCATCCCGCCCCTCGGGTGAGGCAAAGTATTGAAGTCTTTCCTTCTCATGTTCAGCTGTTGCATAGAAGCTCATAACCTGAACAGCGATGATACATTACAAGGGTTTCCATCAAATACTTGTTTCATAAATAAACTCAAAACCATATCTACGTGAGATGAAAAGGACTTTCATAAATTTAAAATTCAGAAGCATTAGGATAGAAGGATTGAAGAGTTCTTACCTCAAAGAAGTATCGTCGAGGTGAAGCGGATGTAACATCCATTGTTAATTCAACAAAAGTCTTAAGCTTAATAGGGAGCTGTGTAATAATTTCTTCACTGAAACCACTATTCTCTGTCTCTGTCGGACCAACCTGAAAACAAATTCACTCTCGGGTTATTTGGAATGACAATCTGAGATAATTTAATATCACAAGAGTGGAGCTACTTACTGTGATGAATGATTCTGGGTCTAGATCGCAGCGTTCTATAAATGCATCTACCGCTGAAGGATTTTGGCTTGGAAGAAGCTCAACAACATCGCCAACTTCATATTCGGTAGTCTTAAAAGAGTAGAAAACCAAAGAGGATAATAAGACATCACCCTCAAAATTGACTGAACGTTGCCCTTAAGTAAGTGACAGCAAAGTACTTACAGAAGAAACAAACTGGAACTCAAAGTGGCGGACATCCTTTGTGCTTTCAGCTTTAGTCAAGACTTCATTTCGGGTCTACATGATTGGAATGTTAAGGCAAGCTAAGGGAATAAAACTCATATCATCTAGGCTTAGCATAATAATGCATACCAAAATCAGATATTTTAAGAAAACATGTTAATCATCAAGCAACACACCAGATTCAAGGTAACAGAGGACTGGAATAGCATAACCAGTGAGGTTGACTAGCATATCAGAAAGAAAAAAAAGGAAATTTTTTTGTTGGGCAACAGGATGAGCATACCATCTTGAGAAAGCAGTCTGGTTTACTTTTGTCCTTGAATAATTTTCCTGGGGACATTCCACGGGCTCTTTGTATGATATCTGCAAAAACATAAGAGGCATATTATGCAAGATAAATTCCCAAAAACAGGTAATATGATACCTAACCTTTTTCATGATGCAAGAGAAATAAGTTTCACGAGCCAATTGAAACATAACATTTGTGAGACTACTTCCAGCAGATTCATTCAAAGTGATTTTTATACTGACATTTCTAGCAATTACCATTAGCAAGTAGACAGTTCAATGTTAAGTAGCACAACATAGTCATAAATTAACATAAATGAAGCCAAGTATCCACTCAATAATTTTGGCATACCTGAATCTGACAATAATTTAGGCTCCAATTTCTCCTGCTTATGATATAAAATCCTATATTTAGGCTGATCAATTACTTCATCTTGAGGAATCTTCACATCTGGACCTTTAGGAAAGTATTTTGGATTGATCTGGTATAATGTACTCCACAAAGACAGCATCCACGGATCAAGAGTTCCTTCGTACCTGAAAATACAGAAAACACCAAAACTGAAAACTTAGTATTCTAACACTGGACTTTATAGTACTATAACAGCAACAGTAAGAATGTGGATACAATATATTCAACTGATCAAATGATTCGTCCGAATTCAAAGAATATTTTTGAAAAGCAGGATTCTTTATATTTCTTAATACACTGTATCATACCCTGATGGGTGTTGATCATCTCCTAGACCTTTTTCAATGATGGATGTGGCCCCAAGATCTGATAATCTTTTGTCTAACTTCTTTGCTACAAACTAAAGCCATCAGAAAGATAATCATGTCATGAATTTGTGCCACAGAAGAATAAATCAGACAAATCTCAAGAGGCAGATGAACTTACATTGTACTTCTGGTAACCAGAATCACCTAGTCCAAACACCGCATAGCGAACTTGTTGCAACCAATAGTTTCCCAGATTTCTTTGAAGAAGAAACCTCCAAAATGCCTTGAATGATTGAAAGAGACAATGAACAATATAAGCTCCAAATAATTAGAAGTGGTTTGCAGGAATAACCAAATACATGTTGGTAAAATTTCTCAAGAATTTAAACGAACCTTAAAGGAATCAGGAGAGTCTCCTTGCCCTGTAGTGGAGACAACAAAAACAACAGCCTCCTCATGAGGTAAGGAACTCTGCAGAAACACACATGATAAAAAGGAAAACACTTTTATGTCACACTACTAGAGAGTTTGTGAAATCTCTATGTTAAGTCAAACTTCAATCAATATAACCACAGAAATCAGATTGGTTATAGAAGAAAAGAAAAAACATATCAACAACCATCGGTTTTCGTCTTCCACAACTTTCAAGGTGACCAATTGAAAGGTTTCCTTCACATATCAAGAAGCATCATATACATGAAGCAAACAATCTTCAAAACAAAGTAACGAGCTTTTAAAATCCAATTGATTTTACTACACATACAGCGTCGAATTCGTCGGTGGAGACTATAGATGCTGGAAAACCACGGCGTTCTGCTTCGCGGCCAATACGCTCCGCCGCATCAAGAGCGTTTCCGGTTTGAGAAGCATACAACACAAGCAGCTTCCTTGGCTTTTCTCCCATCGCCGCCACTTCACCACCCGTCGATTGAGAATAACTGCAAAACCGGATCCCGGTCTGATGATTTAAAATAAGAAAAGTCGAACCGAAATTGAACCGAATGAAATCGAGAGAAAAAAAACCGGTTATTCCTACCCGGTTGATGTCTTTCCTTGTCGTGGCCGCAAAACGCAATCTAGTGATCAATTACTCTTTTGCTGGTATGCTGGAAATGTGAGAAAGGAACGTTATTGATATGTAGCAGAAGCTATGGTGCAGCAAAAAGTTTGCGCCAAGAATGCTTGAATTGTCCGGTTAACGTTTGATGAAGATGTGAAACTTTCTCTGCCCTCTATGCTGGTGTGACGCCATGGAGTACCATGAATGTCTCACAAGTTGATTAGCTGTGCCAAGAGAAGACTGGTCAAGTGCTTTTCAGGTACTTTCCAAAAGAAGCAAGAGGCCGCTGCAATTGATTATCTTCTTGTCGCATACAAGTATGTGTAGACTAAAGCGATCAGAGGCGCTTGTTCTTGGTATATTTTGTGGTTAGGATTTTGATAACGAGTTTTGAAGAAGAAACACAACCGGAGGATTTGGTATGCCATCAAAGAAATGGGATTATGGAGAAGATATGATTCTAACGAAAATGCTTTTTGACTACCTAATCAATCGAATCGCATACGGCTCAGAATGAAAGGCAGATAATAATGAGATTATAGATATTATTGTTAACATCCAGAAAACAGTACTAAGGTCATAACGAAGGTAGCTGGTGATTGATTATTGAGCAATACCGTTAACATCCAGACAAACACAAAAGAAAAACCGGAGTACTAGGAGAGAGAGAGGGAGTTGCACAAGTTTAAAACACCAACCAAAGAGAGATAATTCTACTCTTCGGGAGCTTTTTACTTCACAGTCATCTTATTAGCTCTGTTGGGAGCAGAACGAAGACCTATAAAAAATAAACCACGAAGTTAATGGGAGGTTTTACTTTGTTAGCAAGAAGAATCAAGGGCAAAGTCATGTACATAATGATGGGGAACCTCTTATCATGTCCGGTGGCGGCAGAACCATGTCAACTGTAATCTTCCATCCTCCCACGTTACGTCCACTAAGTTTAAGGGCCTTGTCTACTGCGCCTTGTCCTCCCAGAATAGTAATGTTAGCAAACCTGTAAAAAGGTCATCAGAGACAAGTATTTAGTTAGACTTGATTAAACTATAACTTGAGAGGGAGGAATCTTAAGAAGCCACAAACCTGTAGAGACCACCACTATCATCTGTGGGAATCAAAACATTGGTCACCTCTCCACATGAAGAGAAATGTTTACTCAGCCCGATCTGGACATCAATCTTAGGGAGCTAAGTGTCATAACCCGTAACTCCAATCCTAAATAATTTGGTCAATATCATCAACATTAACAAGAACACATACAAACCCAAAAACAAGCCCGAGAGAGAGAGAGAGATCAATTTACTGGCGTGCTGACTCCAAGTGTTTGACTCCCGCAGGATCATTGTATTGTCCCTGAAAAGGTGACTCCTTAGCGTATACACGCCATCCTCCCTCCTCGACGTCACTTCCACTAAGTTCCAACGCCTTCTCAAGGGCACCTTCTCCGGCAATATGCATGAAGGCATAACTGTGAAACCACAAAAACTAGTTTCTTTTAGTTGGCATTCTAAATTATAACTTGAGAGCTCAAGGGAAAAATTGGAGGAAGAAGCCGAAAACAAACCTCTGGATGGTACCCTTTTCAGCGTTTCTGGGATCGTAAATATGTATGATCTTTCCACATGAAGCGAAATGTTTTGTCAGAGCGAGCTTGAGATCATACGCATGAAGCGAAGTTTCATATCCCTCAACGCTAATCCTGCTAAAGCCACTGCAAACAAAATTTGATGATCACGAGATCTTATTGTACTAAATCGACAACATGAAAAAAACAAAAAAAAATACATTAAAAGTAGAATCAATTTTACCGGCGTTTTGGAATGTCTGATGCATCATTACCGTTCGATTCAAACCCCTAAGGTACGTACAAAAAGGAGATCTAATCAGAGATTCTACTACGTCAAATGTTTGTCTTCTTTTTTGTAAAGAAACAATTCATAGAGAGACGAGAGTTTAAAAAGTGCGTAATAAGAAATCCATAAGGAGAAGAAGATTACTTTGATGATGGTGGATCCGCCGCCCATGGTTAAACTGAGAAGTGCTGTCGACCAACCGAAGTCGGGCTAGACTGTCGCTTGTACGACCACCGCCCATGGTTATTTTTTTTTTCTTCTAATTCTCTTTCTTTTTGTTGGTTTTCTCATCCTAATCTGCAGTTTATGTCACTAAATTAAGACATAACCTTTCGATTTCTTTATCTCAACCAATGGCTTACAGTTTCCAGTTTCGGCCGGTGGCCAATCTTGAGGAATCGCGCCTCTTCCTCCGTCGCCGTCACAATCACAACAAGCCGAGGCCCATTGAGACCCGGTCATCCAGCACGAGTTTTATAATTTTTCTCATGCATAGGAATATGGGCCAAATTATTAACACTTGTACCGGCCCGTTTCCTAAAAAAGAAATTCTGAGGATGCATAGTATCACTTCAGTGGATAGCTAAGGGTTTCAATCTCTTCTCTTGCATTCTTCGCTCTGTTCTCTTGCTTCGAATTCGACAAATCCCCTCGGTAAGCTACGGATCTACTCTCTCTTTACTCAAAGTTCGAATCGTTTCTCTATTGCTCGTTCATGTTTTTGTGTCGTTTTGTTTGACTCCGAATCCTTCCTGTATGCTCGAAATCTGGTATTTCGATCGATTCTAGGGTTTATACTGTCTTAGTTTTCTCGTTCATGTTTTTGTTTCGTTTTGTTGACTCCGAATCTTACATGTGTGCTCTACATCTGGTATTTCGATCGATTCTAGGGTTTTTAGTGTGTGAGTATTATTTTGATTTTGATTATTTTCTATCTCTCTAGTCAATGGAGACTATTTGGATTCCGAAACATCGTGATCTTATTCTTCCTCCCCTGTCTCAAGTAATTGATGATTGTTGGGCCATTTCTTTTACTCATCAATTTGAGGCTCTGCTGAAGTTAAATGGTTATGTGGACATGACTGAACACCTCTCAGCCGTACAAGAAACTGAACGGTTTTCAGTCATGTCCACATAACCATTTAACTTCAGCAGAGCCTCAAATTAATAAGTAAAAGAAATCGCCCAGCAATCATCAATTACTTGAGACAGGGGAGGAGGAATAAGATCACGATGTCTCAGAATCCAAGTAGTCTCCACTGACTAGAGAGATAGAAAATAATCAAAATCAAAATAATACTAACACACTAAAAACCTAGAATCGATCGAAATACCAGATCTAGAGCACACAGGTAATATTCGGAGTCAACAAAACGAAACAAAAACATGAACGAGAAAAAGAGAAAACTAAGATAGTATAAACCCTAGAATCGATCGAAATACCAGATCTCGAGCATACAGGAAGGATTCGGAGTCAAACAAAACGACACAAAAACATGAACGAGCAATAGAGAAACGATTCGAACTATGAGTAAAGAGAGAGTAGATCCGTAGCTTACCGAGGGGATTTGTCGAATTCGAAGCAAGAAAACAGAGCGAAGAATGCAAGAGAAGAGAGTGAAACCCTTAGCTATCCACTGAAGTGATACTGATGCGTCCTCAGAATTTCTTTTTTAGAAAACGGGCCGGTACAAGTGTTAATAATTTGGCCCATATTCCTATGCATGAGAAAAATTGTAAAACTCGTGTTGGATCCATGGACCGGGCCTGAATGTCTCTTCAATGGGCCTCGGCTTGTTGTGATTGTGATTGTGACGGCGACGCCCAAGATCTGATAATCTTTTGTCTAGCTTCTTTGCTACAAACTAAAGCCATCAGAAAGAAAATCACGTCATGAATTTGTGCCGCCGAAGAATAAATCAGACAAATCTCAAGAGGCAGATGAACTTACATTGTACTTCTGGTAACCAGAATCACCTAGTCCAAACACCGCATAGCGAACTTGTTGCAACCAATAGTTTCTCAGATTTCTTTGAAGAAGAAACCTCCAAAATGCCTTGAATGATTGAAAAAGACAATGAACAATATAAGCTCCAAATAATTAGAAGTGGTTTGCAAGGAATAACCAAATACATGTTGGTAAAATTTCTCAAGAATTTAAACGAACCTTAAAGGAATCAGGAGAGTCTCCTTGCCCTGTAGTGGAGACAACAAAAACAACAGCCTCCTCATGAGGTAAGGAACTCTGCAGAAACACACATGATAACTTGATGAAAGGAAAACACTTTTATGTCACACTATTAGAGAGTTTGTGAAATCTCAATGTTAAGCCAAAAGTCAATTGAAAGGTTTCCTTCACATATCAAGCATCATATAAACAAAGCAAACAATCTTTGAAACAAAATTTTATTTTACTACACACATACCGCGTCGAATTCGTCGGTGGAGACGATAGATGCTGGAAATCCACGGCGTTCTGCTTCGCGACCAATACGCTCCGCCGCATCAAGAGCGTTTCCGGTCTGAGAAGCATACAACACAAGCAGCTTCCTCGGCTTTTCTCCCATTGCCGCCACTTCACCACCCGTCGATTAAGAATAACTGCCTAACCGGATCCCGGTCTGATGATTTAAATAAGAAAAAAAAAAAGAAAAAAGAAAAGTAGAATCAATTTTACCGGCGTTTTGGAATGTCTGATGCATCACTACCGTTCGATTCAAACCCCTAAGGTACGTACAAAAAGGAGATCTAATCAGAAATTCTACTACTTCAAATGTTTGTCTTCTTTTTTGTGAAGAAACAATTCATAGAGAAACAGAGGTTATAGAGTGCGTACGAAGATATCCATAAGGAGAAGAAGATTACTTTCATGGTGGATTCGCCCATACTTAAGTTGAGAAGAGCAGACTGCTATGGCTTTCTTCTTTTTTTTTTTTTTTGTCAAAGGACGAAGAAGGTACAGTATCTATAATTTTCGTTTGGGACATTTCTTGTCTATAATTAAAAACAAACCATTGGGCCTTAAATTTAGCTCAGGCCTGGAATAAGCCCACAATAACAGATCGTTGGGTATTTACGACCTGAGGGTGTGATCACCTCCGGAAGAGCGTATCATTCAGTTTTTTGGGCCTTTTTCTTCTGATCCGTTTAAACTTGTTTGGGCTTAATAGCTTTGCACGTAAACCTTCTTCGGTTGGTCTCTAGAGAACGCTGTGTAAAAGCCACCGTCTTTTCCTTCAGAGAGCATGCCTTCTCCTCTTGTGTGAGACTCCCAAAAGTCGCGGTATAGAAAGTCTGTGTCTTTGTTTCTGCAACCAAAGCAGAAAATGACAGGCGCAATCGGGCTAGACTGAGCTTGTACGGCTCTCTCAGCTATGAATCCACGGAAAGGCACACATCCAGTTCCGGGTCCCACTAAGATGAGCGGAAGCGACTGTGATGGAGCAGGAAGGGAGCCTTTGTGAAACCAAAACGGTATGTTTACCTCTAACCACAAACCGAAAACACATCAGAAACAAAGAACTGAGCCAGTGACAGTTATGGTAAAGAAGAAACAAACTTCTAACCTTGTTCAGGTGTGAGGCTTGCAAGCCAAGAGGAGCACAGACCTTTTTGAGTTCTCTCATAAGGCGTGATCCATGATACTCTGCTTACGGTCAAATGTACTTGAGCAGGGTGGGCCAAAGGAGACGATGATATCGAAAAAGCTCTTGGTTTTAGCGGTGGGACTAACTGTACTAGCCACTCAAATGGGATTTGTACGGAATGAAAATCCTCTAGCACCTACATAGGCATTAGCAATACAATCCATTTTCAATGAGTGTTCAAGACGAATCATGGACTTGTGAGATCTGGTGCTATTTTACCTCAAGAATGCTCCTTCTTTCCTTCTGATTGTAATTGTAGAGATCATGCCTCCCTCGGGTGAGGCAAAGTATTGAAGTCTTTCCTTCTCATGTTCAGCTGTTCCATAGAAGCTCATAACCTGAACAGAGATGATACATTACAAGGGTTTCCATCAAATACCTGTTTCATAAATAAACTCAAAACCATATCTACGTGAGATGAAAAGGACTTTCATAAATTTGAATCAAACGCATTAGGAACCTGATAGATGCACAAACATCATAAAGTGAACAGAGTAACAAAAGAAAGATGTGATTAGCTATTAACCATGCTTCTTCTTAACGATCACGATCTACATCTTTGATTAGAAGATAAGATGGGAGAAACCGGGGAAGAATCAACGCGACCACGAGACACAACACTACTAAAACCACCACTGACCAGCTTGAGTAAGGGATGCCTAAGAGCTGTTCTTCACAAACTGTCACCATGAGAATTTCAGACTTTAGAAGAAGCACTACACTCACTACAAGTGTAAGCAAAAACAAAAGAAGCTTGCCTATGTTATAAATGATAGACGCCCGTTCTTTGGAATTTGGTATAGTCACGATTCCTTCAGGTTCCACAGTCACCAAAACATACAATCCGTCCTAAAATCAGAAACAAAAAAAAGACTCATGAACTTGTATTCGTGCCTCTTTCTAAGTTTAGGAACTGATTGAAGATGATGGCAATACCTTGTTATCAACTTCTTCAAGACTTTCCGTTTTGAAGATCAACTTCTCAGTGTTTAGCAATCTCCTCATATGGTTAAGCTTCAAACCCATTACACCGTTCTTTAGTAGTTGCAGCGTAAACAAAGCCGGTATCTGTTATCATAACCAAGATCAGATTTTCAACAAGCACAAGAAGAAACATGGAAACATAAGTAAGAACAAGATAACACATTTGACATACAGAAGCTGGGTACGATATCTTGACTTCATACCAAGAATTTGACTTCAGCCCTTGTAATTTGTAAACTCGAGATCCAGATTTCAATGGCAGAGTCTCCTTCCATAGTTCCTTCCCAGCATATAAACTTTTTCCATCAAACCTAAGATATATATAACATCATTTCTACAGTACCAATAAAGAATCCAAATTGATGATTTTGAGGATAATGTGAGGTTTTTCAACAACACTTACAGTCTCTCATCGCTGTAACAAGGCACAAAATTTATGAAGACGATAAGACAGATGATAAAGTAGCATTCTTTATAGTGTAAATCGAGCATCCTAAGAGTCCTGAAACAATCCCTAAAGAAGATGTCAATTTGATGAATCGGTTAAAGTATAAGCTTGACGCAATCTCGGAAGAAGTCAAAATGTGGTCAAGTTAGGATAAAAGTCAAGACTAGAAATGTTGGATTACAAACACAAACCTCTTCAGCGATGAAAGAAGTGAAAAAGGAAGTAATGGGTGGAGTCCAGGGTCAGTTTCCAAGCTGGCGAGTGCTTGTCTAAAGAGGGTGGAGCCAGATTGAGTCAAAGCCCACTCCGTGACTTTGTCAAAGTAAATCTGCATCGAGAGCAAGCAAGGATTATATAGCCTTCAAAGAGAAGCACACATATGTAGAATCAGCTTATGAATAATCCAAGTCAGACACAAATGAAGAATAATCCTAATCAGAGGCATGAAGTTTTAGAGACATTTATCACAAGTGAGATGATTTATTTGAAATCACAAGAGGCATGAAGTTTCGCTGCTTTTTTTTTAATACTTCTCATATCACGTTGTAGTTTTGCTTGCTTTTACTTCTTAATAGAAGATGTACCTTTGTTGTTCGCCTAAACATTGAAAACAGGACCTAGTATTATACTTTATTCCTAATCTTCAAAATAAGGATTATGTGTACTACTTGTTGATTCCGTGTCTGTGCTGAACATCTCACTTGTTATGAGATATTAAAGATCAAGTTTCTGTTTTCTTGTGAATCTTAGCTGAATTGGGATTATTCATAAGCTGATTCTACAGATTCTAGGAGAAGAGACCCTTCTTGCTTTCCTTTTCTCCTACCTCAGACTATGTAAAATATACTCTGCAGGGCAGAAACTGAGAGAAGGCACAGGGAGGATGAGTTCGACAAGGAGGCAGAAGAAAAGCTGAAGATGAGTGAGCATGGACAGTCTTCTCCGAAGATGCCTCTGATGTCTTCTCCGAGGCTGCCACTGAGGTATTCTCCTACCGCATCTCCAACATTTAATCAGTTTGTAGATTATAAATCTATGAAGTTGCTTCTGATACCTGTTTTGCCTTTGGTTTTTTGGCATAGTGAGCAAGACTACACTATATTCTATCATCCTCCAGTGATAAAGCTAATTCCACCGATGGTAAAAACCATCAAAGCTAAGCCACAGAAGAATGGCGAAGAGGTTGGGGACATATGGGCATGGTATCATGAGTTGAAGAGGTACTTGTTCCTGTTTTTGGCTGTGTTTATACTTTCTTCGTTTTCCCACTTTCTACGAATTCTTTATGTTTCTTTCTATTAAGCTGAATCTTATTATTTTCTTATAACATATAATGTACACTAATTTCTCGTTTCTTTTCCATTTTTTGTCACTGCCTGTAGGAGCTAGCCAGGGTTTGTACGGACATGCTGAGGAGAACCTGATTTTGGTTGCGTAAGGTTTTGGTTAGGTTTGAAAAAACGTCTTAGGTAAGTGTCTGTCTTTTGGATTAGAGCAGAGATAGTTTTTGGGATGCTCTAACACAAAATAGCTAGTTATATGCATCTTTGCAAGTGTGGTTCTGAGAGGGTGAACTATTTTTTCGGTATGACATGTGTCTGTGATGTTTTTGGGTTAACACATGTGGTTTTAGGTATTTTGTTTAGGGAAACATGTGATGTTTTCACAACGCCAGAAGTATAATCACAACGCCAGAAGTATCAACCAGATGCATAATCACAACGCCAGAAGTATCAACCAAATGTAGCAGACAAACGTACCTTCAACAAAACCAAATGTAGAGTAAGTCTACTTAATGGTTTTGTTGAACTTCTGAAATGTCCGTCTTAGGTGGCAAATCCTGATTGGGTATAATAAAAGGAGTGAAGGTTCACCTCTAGGGGTTAACCCAAGAATTGTCCATTAATATAATAATTTTTTTTGTTATCTTTAACATACATTAATAATATTATAAAGATTTATAAAAAAACGGTCTATGACGCCAAACCCACACTTTTGTTTGGGAAATGGTTTGTGACTAGAATTAAAGGAAGAATAAGAGATCATGAATTGTCATGAATCTAATAAACAATTTTCTTTTTATTTATAAAATCTGCTCACAGATCGATCACACGAGACAGCTTCTGGATCCGGTTTAGCAAGAAATCCCCTTGCTTGATTGATGCCTGGTAAAGTGTATTCTTTGCATCAGGACGGTTAGTCTCCACAACACCTGCAACCTTGTCTATCTTGCAGTGAAGCTTCCCAGCAGCAATGAAGCGTGACAGCTCCCTGGATAACCATAAACATTGAAGCCGGTTTAAGATATTTTATTTTATACAGAAAGACGGGGTAAACTAAAAGATACTAAAGAATGTAAATTGAGTGTTCGCCAGTGTGCTTACTGATCAATGAAATCCACGGAAACGCCAAAGGCTTTTGCCATCGCTTCAACTGTCACACTCTTGTAAGATTCCAAAAACTGGGAGTACACCACCGTTCTGACTTCCCTCATGTAGAACCGGAAATGCGGGTACAGGTAACGGTCAAGCTTTATCTGCTCCGCCATTCCAGCTGAGAGAACATACCCCCAATAATGGAGTTAGTAAACACGCAAAGAAAAACCAAACAACATGCATGCGGAAATATGACATATGGTCCTTGTAATGAACTCACCAAATGCTGAGAAAAACGCCTTGTACTGGCACTCATACCAGGAGTTCAGAAACTCAGAAAGGAACGGAATCTTTCCAAGCACGGTTAAGATCTCAGGTGCATCAACGACCTGTCAAATTAATAACACTTTATCATTTTCTCAAAAAGATTTACATCCCCGGAAAGGAATTTCAACAAACAACAACGATTTATATCATTTGAATAAGTCTGACATTTACTAAATTTAGAAAGCTCGAAGTAGAGGACTGAGCCATTGACAAATACCTTTTGCTTAAGAGAAACTCTGTCCAAAGTTATGATGCTTGTCAGGACGGTGTAGAATATTAAGGTCTCATATGGAAAAATTTCATATGTTGTGAAGGTTGATATAGAATCTAGAAATAAGCTGGCAGCCTTATTGAAGTTTCTGGTGGCCATGCAGTACAAGCCTTCATAGACCTTTAGTCGATTTTTCCTCTCCCAGTCACCACCCTCTTCAAACAATCTGGCAAGAGAGAACACAATGTGTTAGATCAACGTTTTCAGTTGTGCTATGTATCAAAAGTAGTCGCAATGCAGCCAAAAAGCCAAATTGACACTTACTTTTTTGCTTTGTCAATGTTCTTTGATACCAGATCAAAGTCCATGTAGAAGAAAGCAAGCTGCAATGTATAGAATACTAAATCCATTTTTTGACTAACAGAAATAGTTTTTCCTTCAGTGAGTAATAGCTGCTCCAGGGCTTTCTCCTAGGTTCACAACGCAAGAATTTAATGACCACGGAAGTTCTCTGAAGTGCACAATTTTATTAACTTTGACATGCTCACATACCTTATCACTAATCCTGATGAAATACAGAGCCTTAGCAAGATGAGCTTCATGGACTTCACTTTCACCCAAATTTTCTTCTGCATATGCAATCCTAAACAAAGGAGAAGAAAAGGAATATGTCAGAGAACAACAACAATACCAATGATAGAGCACAATATTAGTCAGTGGTTATCTTCAACTGAATACTTACTTCTCGTCGAGCTTTTTGAGCTCCTCCTCGTTATCGGCACTAGAGCTGTCAAATAACATGAATTGACTTCATGAACAAAAAACGAGATTAGAACAAAGTGTTAGCAAATTATAGTTTTCAAACAAGTAAACTAAACTGCAGCAAACTTATCACGTAGACAATCAAAACACTTATCAAAACAAGTACTCTTCAGACTCTAGCTTTAGCAATAATTTAAGTAACAAACATTTATAAATGCTTAGTAACTACTTAGTACTGACTAGTCAAATATTATCCAACACATTCATAATTAACAGAAACACAAACAATCACCAACACATTCATAATTAAAAGAAACACAAAGCCATTTATGATACACAAAGCATTCAAACTGCAGATAAATCAGACACAACCTCTTTTTAAGCTTAGAAAATAGCAGCTAAATCAATGACCAACACATTCTCAGATTCTATTACTTGGAACATTAAAGCAATACGTCAGATATTTTAGATTCAAATTCGGATAATTGTTATTCTTCCTAGAATATCATCTTAAAACATCCTATCAAAATCCAATATGACTTCCTAGAATATCACTTTCAATCACTTAATCATTTGTACTCAACAAAGTTAACACACAGATCCATCAAATCTAGAACTATACTGAAGCTTACTGAAGACTTATACCATATGCATTAGAAAGTCCATCGCTACAAATAATGAACAAAACCTTAGATCTTAAGAAACAAAACCAGACATTTCTAAACTGAAAACAAAAACCCACAAAAGGCTTACCCAGATTAGGCTGAAATCTAGGGTTCGAAGCCCAAATCATCAAAAACCTAATTTCCCGATTAGAAAAACTCAGAGATCCTAGAGTTTCAGTGAAAGTAAGATCCTTTCCAATCGATCCTAAGAGAAAGAGAAGAGTAAATTGTTTACCTAATTCGAGTGAAGAAATCGTTAGGAAGAAGCGACGCAGAGGAAGAAGCGACGGAGAGAGGAAGAAGCGATGAAGAGTACATTTTTTTTTCTCGTTTAGGGATTTGATTTTTTCCCCAAATTAAAACCCTAAATTTAGTTTGGGCAAAAACCCAATGTCGAGATGGTCGGCCCATTTCGTCCGGGACAAAACCGGTCTTAGAACCGATTGGTCCATTCATTTCTCGGTCTGGACCAAAGACCGCCCATTTGTTTTTGGACTGGGCCCGCCCATAAGTCGAACGAAATCGAAAAATAACTGAAATTTTCCGGTTATTCATACCGGTTGTCATACCAGTATCGCGTCTCTTATTATATAAAAATCCTAAATCATAAATATCTGGCATTGATTGTTGTTTCAATCTAGTTTTCAAATGAAATTACCAGATTCTAGTATATATTCTTTTGTAACAATTTATTGGTTCTTGTATTAAATTTGTAATCATGCTTATCTAAAATGAATTTGATGTCTCGACCTCATAATACGGTACTCTAAAACGAGATTACAAAACAAAATACTACTCCTGAATAAAACTAATACGGTACTCTAAAACGAGATTACAAAATAAAATACTACGCTTGAATAAACTAAGTCATACTAAAGTACGTGATAAAGGTAATCATACAAAAAATCTGTCGCCGCCAAACACACGATCTTGATCAAGGTAATCATACAAAAAATGAGATTTTATACCCGCCAGCATGTTTGCACATCATTCACTTGTCACCGCCCAGCACACGTCACACTCTTGGCATGCACATGGACGAATGATATGAGGGGCTTGGGTCCTCCAAGTAGCCATAGTTGTAAACTACATACACAATGTCAAAGTTTTAATAGAGTCAATGGAATGATTATGAGCTATGATTACTTAAAATCAGATGTTACATTAGAACAAGCAATATTATATTCATATCTAAGAACAATATTAAGTAAAACAGAAGCAACAAGATTCATAGACATGAAATGTCTATCACTCAAACCTGCACAAAAAATACACACGTAAGTAAAACCTCTCAAAATTAATAATGTTGGAACCATAATATATTATTAATATATAGTGATATTAGTTTATAGGGATATACCATAAATTAATTTATAAAAATACTTGGTTTAATTTTTAAAATTTTAGAAAAAGATGAATTGAGAAAATTTTATCTAAAGAAATTTAGAGTTTTGGATGTTATAAATTTGTAATTTTGGACTTGAAATTTTATATTTTAAATAAAAATCTCTTTTGACAATAAATTACAAGATTAATTGACTTGTAGAAACGATATTGATAAATTCAAATTTACTTTTATGACATAGTTATCGAGTATACTATAACACTATACAATAGTTTTAAAACACAACATAACAATTGATTTAGATCAAAAATGTTAGAGATGAGCTCTAACCAAAGTTTAGCTAATTAAGAAAACACTAAAAGCGTATATGAACTTATATATATTTATTTATATTTATGTAAATTTATATAATTATTAAGACCTATAATTTTCGTTTGGGACATTTCTTGTCTATAATTAAAAACAACCGATTGGACCTTAAATTTAGCTCAGGCCTGGAATAAGCCTATATAGTTCTCGTTTTTTGTCACTCAAACCTCGAGAGTGATTTCTGTCACTTGGGCTTTTATTACGTGGGCTTTGATTAATTGATTATTTGTTAAAAACAAAATTTATCCAAATCTCAATTTGAACCGACAAAAATCCGGTTATCTCAAAAAGATGAAGTCATAGTGGTCGATGACGATGATACTGAGAGTGTGATCAAGACACAAACGAGGAACCCACTAACAACGGTAATTCTGCTGCTCTAGAATATCTCCAGATGATGCACGTGTAAAATGTACAAAAGATGGAACCAGGCTAATCAGTGGGAGCGATGATTAGTCAGATATGGTTATTCCAGCCTCGGAGATCAAGAAAATTCCAAACACTTACACAAACCTTCTTCCCTTGAGTTCACAAACCAGACCTGAGAATGTATGCTTGGACATGTGAGAAAGGAACGTGATCATTGATACATGTGGCAAAAGCGACTGTGCCGCAAAAGTTCACCAGGAATGATTGAATTGGATAAAGACGGGAACCTTTCTTTGCTGGTATGACCGAGTTGGAGTCACCATGGAATACCATGGATCTCAGAAGTTGATAATTAGCTGTGCCAAGAGAAGATTGGTCAAGTATTTTCCGGTACTCAAAGAGGCTCAAGTGATGAAATTCCCTGCTTGTAAATTAATTTGGCTTCTTGACTTTTTTTTTTTTGTTGGCAACTATACATACGAAGCATACAAGTAGATATATATTCCGGTACTCAAAGAGGCTCAAGTGATGAAATTTCCTGCTTGTAGATTAATTGTCTTCTTGACTTTTTTTTTTTGGCAACTAGATACGAAGCATACAAGAAGATATGAAATTAATGAAAATGCTACATGCTAGAATTAAGGCAGATAATGATTATATAGAGATTATTTCTACATTATCCAATACTCTAAGGTAAATAACCAAAGGCTGATAATGATTATTGCTGTCAACATCCAGACAAAAACAAAAGAGTGATGAAAAAGAAAGAAAGGAGGCTGCGTTTTAGGTGTATCGTCACAAGTTTAAAACACCAACCAAAGAGCTTAGTCTGCTCCTAATCCCAAGAGAGAGAATTCTACTCGGTAGTCTTCTTCTTCATCTTCTTCTTCATCTTCTTCATAATGCCAAGTATGGAGGGTGGAGCACGATCTAAAAATAAACCACGAAATGAATTAATGAGAGGTTTTAATATGTTACGAAGAATCTTTTTTTAAAAAAGATTCAAGGGGCAAAGTCATGTACTGGATGTTGGGAAATTTTTTTCCGAGTCCATTGGCGGCATGACACACTCAACTGTAATGTTCCATCCTCCCATGTCACGTCCACTAAGTTCGAGGGCCTTTTCTGCTGCTCCTTCTTCCCGAATAAAAATGGTAGCTTTCCTGTAAAAAAACTCATCCAAAGACAATTGCCTTTTAATTCTCTCTTAAAAATCTTAACTTGAGAGAAAATTATATAAGAAACCAAAAAAAAACCTGCAGGTGGGGAGAATCGTAACACCGGTGACCTCTCCACATGAAGAGAAATGTTTACTCAGCCCGATCTGGAGATCAATCTCAGGGAGCGAACTGTCATATCCCGAAACTATCAACCTAACAATTTTGTTTGCACGAGTTAATCAACATGACTACAACAACAACACATACAAAAAAGAGAGATGGTATTATATTACTTACTCGCGTTCTGAACTGAAGTGTTTGAATGACACATCAGCCCATCCAGGATCAATGTAGTCTCCATTAAACGGTGACTCCTTAACGAATACACGCCATCCTCCCTCGACGGCACTTCCACTAAGTTTCAACGCCTTCTCTACGGCACCTTCTGTGGAAAAGTCAACGAAGGCAAAGCTGTGAAACAACAAAAACAATTTGTTAGCATTTTTAGAAGAATTATAACTTCTAAGAACAGGGGAAAATTGAAACCAACCTCTTGAGGATACCCTTTTCAAAGTTTCTGGGAATATAAATATGTGACATCTCTCCGCATGAAGAGAAATGTTTTGTCAACGCGAGCTCGAGATCATACTCATAAAGCGAAGTATCATATCCCTCAACGCGGATTCTGCTAAAGATACTGCAATAATTAAATTTTTTGATGATTAATTAGCTTGCATGCGATATTATTATCAACGACATGTCGACGAAAAATACATCTCCCCAAAAAAACAAAATATATATATAATCAATTTACCGGTCTTTTGGAATTTCTGATGCATCACTACCGTTCGATTCAAACCCCTAATCAGAAATTCTTTTTTTTTTTTTTTTTTTTTTTTTTTTGGTAACAATAATCAGAAATTCTACTACTTCAAATACTGTTCTTCTTTCTTTTGAAGAAACAATTCATAGAGAAACAGAGGTTAAAGAGTGCGTAAGAAGAAATATATAAGGAGAAGAAGATTACTTTCATGGTGGATTCGCCCATACTTAAAAGTCGAGAAGAACAGACTGCTAGGGCTTTTTTTTTTAGTCAAAGGACGAAGAAGGTACAGTATTTTCGTTTGGGACATTTTTTTGTCTATAATTAAAAACAAACGATTGGACCTTAAATTTAGCTCAGGCCTGGAATAAGCCCATATAGCCCTCGTTTTCTGTCGATTGGGCTTTTATTATGTGGGCTTTTATTATTTGTTAAAAACAAAATTGATCCAAATCTCAAAATGAACCGACAAAAATCCGGTTATCTCAAAATGTCACTGCAAGAACTTTTGACTTTGAGAAAGTCTTTGAATAATCAAAACAGAGTTTTTCAAATTTCCCAAGTCTGAAATGGTACTCGCATTTTTGAGAGAGAGAGACAGGGGATATCAGATATGGCTTCTCGGAAGAAACGTACAGCGAAGATTTCAGAGGAGGAACAGAGTCGTCGCCAACGGTTTCACTTTCAAGCCATTCTTCTAGCTGACAACTTCACCACGAAACTCCTTCCCTTAACCTTAGAGCGCCCCAATGTATTTTTACCGCTAGTGAATGTTCCCATGATTGATTACACCTTAGCTTGGCTCGAATCTGCTGGAATAGAAGAAGTTTTCGTCTTTTGCTCGACGCAAGTCATCGATTATCTGAACAACTCTGGATGGTACTCGCACAAAGACTTTACGGTGAAAACGATAGAGTCACCACACGAATCCACTAGTGCTGGTGATGCTTTGCGTTACATCTATGAGCAACAGATTGAGACATCTCAGATTCAAGATGACTTTGTTCTTGTTAGTGGAGGTATTGTGAGTAACATGCCCCTAACGCAGCTGATTCAAGAACACAGAGATAGAAAGAAGAAAGATGATAAAGCTATCATGACTATGGTTATCAAACAGTCACTCGTCACGGATCATGAACTCTTCATCGGTGTAAATCCTTTAACAAAACAGCTTCTTTATTACGATGAGGACAAGATCTGCTTGGATACGTCATTGATGGATCGTAATCCATCTGTTTTGCTATGTAGTGATATGCAGGATTGTTACATTGACATATGTTCTCTTGAGGTGCTTAGTCTCTTTGTGGATAACTTCGATTACCAACAGCTGCGTTGTGATTTTGTGGAAGGTGTTCTTGCTGATGATATTATGGGTTACAAGATTTTCACTCATGAGATCAGCTCGTGTTATGCTGCTAGGATTGAAAACTTCCGGAGCTATGACATGGTGAGCAAGGATATAATCCAGAGGCGGACATTCCCGTATGTACCGGATATGAAGTTCAGCGGAAATCGTCCTCTTAAGCTCGGAAGACAAGGGAGCTATAGGGCTTCTGATGCTATCCGGTCACCATCTGTTCATGTTGGAGATTCCTCTGTCATTGGACATGCCACAACGATTGGGAGTGGAGCTAAAATCTTGAACTCGGTAATTGGGAATGGATGTTCTATTGGATCTAATGTGGTGATACAAGGCTCATACATATGGAACAATGTTACGGTTGAAGATGGGTGTGAGATAAGGAATGCTGTTGTATGTGATGCGGTGAAAGTTAGTGCAGGAGCTATTTTGCAAGCTGGTGTTGTTTTGTCTTTTAAGGTTGTAGTTGGGAGGGACTTTGTTGTACCTGCATATTCAAAGGTTTCCTTACTTCAACAGCCAATGGAAGAAGACAGTGATGAAGAACATCTTTTGTCAAGTGTAGATTTGCAAATGGAGTCCAAGCTTGGTCCTGATGGAGCAGGTTACATATGGCAGGTGTGTGATGAGGAGTGGAAGCATTCTGTTGCACCAATCCCCAAAGATAAACTTGCTGAGATCATTGACGATGATGACACGGAGGATGAAAGTGTTGTCATACCTTCTGGCAATGCTAATAGTATTAACAATGATGTGAATGATCTTTATGACTTTGAGATAGAGGTTGATGGCACCTTCTTAAGGGCTGTCGAAGAGAATATCGTAGCGGACCTTGCGGTTTTGGAGATAAACTCACTCCGGTTGTCATATAACATGGAATCTGCACATTGTGCTGGAGCAATATTCTACTCTATGATGAAACTAGCAGCTGATACTCCACATAGCTCTGCCATTGACTTGTATAAAAACGCGGCGAGTATCATTACTCGATGGAAGGGACTTCTTGGGTTCTATGTAAAGCAAAGTGATAAACAGATAGAAGTAATATCGAGATTGGAAGAGATGTGTCAAGAATCTGCGCAGGAGTTGGGACCTTTGTTTGCTCATATTATTCGTTTTATGTATGAGGAAGAGAATGACATTTTGCAAGAAGTTGCAATCTTGAGATGGGCGGATGAAAAAGCAGGAGCTGATGAATCTGACAAAGTTTATCTGAAACAATGCGAGCCATTCATAACATGGCTCAAGGAAACATCTGATGATGAAGATGACTGAGTTCGTTGGCTTCCAAATGGATTGATATATTGATTATTTGCATTTAAACAGATACTTTGTCTTTTATGTCACTCTCTGTTGTTCTAATGATGTATTTCTCATCCATTGACTTACATACACACTTATGTC